GCCGAATGACATTTTGCACTACGCTCGAAATGAACATGGAAAGTACTCGCCAAAACTATTCCTAGCAATCATAAATAACTCTTATAAACTATCAGCAGTTATAAAAATAGCATATTATTGGAGTCTGTAAAGAACAGATCATGTTCATTTTGCGAATTCACCTACAGCTTATTTCAATCAATTTGCCAGAACTGTCATCTCGTCAATAAACTTGATTGGAAAAGATAAACTACATTTTAGTAAATAAAATATTCAATAAAAATTTGAAGAATATATAAATCTGTTCTAAACTAGACTGAAGGGTTTTCGAAAATTTATAACAAGAAAATTGTATTAAAAAAATTCTCGCTGCTTTTTCATCATAGTTCCTGGTTTAAGTTCGAAATATTTCTGAAATATGACACTGCAAAACCATTTTAATATACTTTCCGATGTATACAAATCATCAATCGCAATAACAGATTGATGTTTTAACTTAATAGTTGTGGATGAGCCATGGTGACTCAGGAGATAGAGCTCTCGCCTCATAGCCATCTCTGGGCTCGAATTCATGATTGATACGAATTCCACAACCAGCTCGCACAAACCGCAGTGCTGACGAAAAATAGCCTCTGTGGTAGACGGATCTTACGCTAAACGTGGGAAGTTTTCGTGATTTTTCTCACCATGTAACACAAATGCATGTTAGTTCCATCAAAACGTCCTTCACAGAGGCAGATTTCTCCTCACACTTGATTCAGGAGTTAATTTGTCTTATAGATTGGATTCAAAATTACAAGGCTACGAAGTTGAATATTAGTAGTCGTAATCTCAAAGTTGGGTCGGATGTCCAATGACGGTGATAAAATAAAATAAAGTAGTCCTGGATGTAAGTGCAATTCTGTAGGAAGGTTTGATTAAAGAGAATGCTTTGTCAGAAATGTTACGTGGGTATATGCTTGAGTATATACCCTCAATAGTATTGATATACTTGAGTTGACATCTCCAACCAAAACCGCGAAGTCGTGCACTTTAAGGTATAGTTCGTTCACCAGGAGTTGGCACTTGGCTCCATCTCCTCGGACGAACAGTTCATTTCAGCGCTGGAATACGAGAAGAGACGAATGTCTCCGAGCTTAAAATTGAGACAATCCTTAATGAACTCCCAACGGAAACAGCTAGTTCTTTTTCANAAAAACTCATGAAAACTTACTGCTGGCCAGAATGTCTTAACTTTTTTGCATTTCGAGTATTTTCAAATGCTATTTAAATTAATGTAAGCCTTAATTTATAAAACTATATTATGATGGACCAATATTGAATAACAATTAAAATTATGAAAAATAATGTGATAACTTATACGCTATTTAAGAAAGTGTTTTTGACAATAGCTTCAAAATTGTCGGAAACATGAGGTTGCGAAAGAAAACGATAGCGGAATAGTTACCACGCTCAAGCCCTGGATACTCATACTTCATTCACCAGGAGTTGGCACTTGGCTCCATCTCCTCGGACGAACAGTTCATTTCAGCGCTGGAATACGAGAAGAGACGAATGTCTCCGAGCTTAAAATTGAGACAATCCTTAATGAGCTCCCAACGGAAACAACGAGTTCTTTTTCAGTCACTTACTTCGTTACTCTAGCTCAGTGTTTCCCAAAGTGTGGTACGCGTACCCCTAGGGGTCCCGCAGTGGACTGATCGTTAAGACACGGTTCTCATCAGATCACCGAAGTCAAGCATCACTGGCTGCGGTCAGTGTGCGGGTGGGTGACCCACGGGTCTGGGATTCTGTTTATACCGAGGGTGTGCGGTATTGGTCCTCGTTAAACTGTGCTACCGTAAAGTGCTCGACTTCGCGCGCAGGTCGTCGGGCTACCGAAGCGGGGGTGCCATCCCCTCCGCAGAGGATCAAAATTGTGATGGCTTGTCTTCGGATCATCCTCCGGGATGTTTCCCAGACCGTCGCCAATAGCCCATTGTGCAGCTCTAGTGCGACGTAAATCAACAACAACAACCCCTAGGGGTACGGGAACAGTTTAGCGGGGGTACGCGTTCTTATGCGAAATATCGACGAAACAAACGAAAATTTCGAAAAATTTTATTTAAAAACAAAGCAAGCCATGAAAATTTACGATTACGTATTTTTCTATTGACTATTTTTTGCAGAGTTAACAGTTAATAATTAGTGGTGTCAACAGCCAGTTGAGAACTTTTGTGCAACTTTTTAATGAGTGGTACACAGCGTTACGAAAAATTTAGAAAGGGTACACCAAAGTCATAAGTTTGGGAAACACTGCTCTAGCTAATTAAATATATTGCAAAAAAATTTCTCCAAAAGGACGAACCACTCAAAAGAGAGAAAAATCATCAAATTTATGAAATACTTAATGTTAAAAAATGCACATTAAGATTGCGAAATAAATATTTTTGTCATACGATCGCCAAATAGCCGCCTTGTTCAGGATCGTTCACATCCTTCTCCCAAAAATAGCGAAATAGTATATTTTTTTTTATATAACCGTCGTTGAACAGCCAACCCAATTTTATGGATTTACGATTACTTATATCCGTAGCCTTGTAATTTTGAACCTAATGCAGAAGACAAGAGAACTCCTGAATCAAGTATTGGGAGAAATTTTGCCTTCGTGGAGGACTTTTTGATGAAGGTAACCCGAATTTGTGTTACACGGAGAGGAAGACCACGAGAACCTCCCACGGTTAGCCTGACGGCAAGGGGACTCTAACCCATGATCCGTCTACCACTGAGGATATTTCACGTCGGCACTGTGGTAGGTGTAAGCTGGTTGCGGAATTCGTATCAACTGGGATTCGAACCCGATTCACCTCATTGGAAGGCGAACGCTCTATCTCCTGAGCCATCGCGGCTCAGCGAAATAGCATTTTATATCCGTTGTTCAACAGCCGAATTTTTGGATTTACGACTACTAATGTTAAACTAAGTAGCCTTGTAATTTTTGAGCCAATCCAGAAGACAAGGAAACTCCTCGATCAGTATCCCCAGAGGTATTGATTTGTTGTGGGAACATGGAGGACTTTGCGACTCTACAGATTTAAAGGCATTAATCACCATTTACTACACGGGGAGTCTTCGACCGGCGGAGATCGAACCCACGAACATGGACCTAGCGAAATAGAATTGTCGGATACCTCGTGATGAGGGCGGAACCAAATGCCAACTCCTGGTGAACGAACTATAGAGCAGTTAAACGAGAACCAACACCGTCGTGCACCCTCTGTCCCTATGCTAGCTGATCAAAGTAGTCACCCACCCATTTACTGACAGTAGCCAGTGATGTTTGTCTTCGGTGTTCTACTGTGAACCGTGTCTTTTACGGTCAGTTCACTATGGGACGCTAAAGTATTAGGAATTCATTTCCAAACAAATGCTTCTTATTAAAATTGATTATCTACAACTTAAGATACATCACTGTCAGATTTAGGGCATTTTTGTCGCATTTAAGAAAACTAACCCATAAATGCGATTTGTGTCGCTAACAACGAAATCTTGCTATCAAAATTTGTTAACCTTTTCTGATTTAGCTAGAATGCTTTATACTCGAAAGCAATAGAAGTTTAAATCATTTCATGATGAAAGAAAGCGGTATTTATCATCATTTTAACGAAAAATTGAGTTCATCAATCAAAAATTTGGAAAATTTTAAAGAGCTAAATATAACTAGAGCTCTGATCTAGTTCTATGCGAGTTTCCATCGTTTTTTAACAGCTACATGCAGAATTCATTGTGTGACATTATAGTCGATAGAAATTTATCGCCAATCAAAACTATGACAACATTTAAATTAGCTATAATTCTACGATTTTTATCGAAATTCGGTGTTGGATGATATTACAATTTTTAATAATTTTCTTATCGCTAAAAACAAAATTTATCCTCATACATCGCGAATTCAAATTTATCGTCAATTAATATTCAAAAAAAAAAAATTTTTTTTTAACAATCTTATTTGTAACTGCAACCTAAAATAACATTGAAGCAGCCTCTTATTGCTTGACAAAAATATATGTTTCACTTAGTTCTTAACTAGCAGAATTTATCATCATATTATCACTAAATAGAAAAAAATTCGACTATGTTTTTTGACTATGTAAAGTTGCCAAATTTCAACTGGACATCTATGCTTGTTGTTAAGAGAAATTGATTAATGATTTTCTAACCTTTGTAAAAAAAATTTATCGTCAATAACAATTCCAATATCTTTCTGACTAGTGTGTTCCATTTTTAACTTTTTCTGTGTGCATCGTTAAATAACACAAATTTAAGGAAATAAATATGTAGTTTTCTATTTCAATGTCTTTAAGTTGGCATTAGAATTTTTTTTTTTTTGTAAAATGGAGAAAACAATGTTTGTTTTTTAAATTAGTTAATTTAAATCATGACTTGAAGCTAATGTAGATTTAAAGTAGGGTTGTAAAAATGTAAATAAAAATGATTTAATTCCCTACAAATCCTTGTTTTGATAAATGAAAAATAGTATTTTAACACAATATGGCTAAAAATTATTAGTGAAAGATAATGTCACAGATTTTATTTATTATTTTGTGCAAATATGTCCCGAATACTATTTAATGTGCAGGAATACCAGTGTACAATGCTTTCTACCTTCATTGAGCAATATTTTTGTTATTGGGCATGGTAATAAAGATGAACTAATGTTCTAATTATTTACCTAAAACTGTATTGTTAAGAACAGTTAACCAAGCTTAATAGATTTAAAAGTTATCAAAAACAGTATCAAATCATGCTTGTTTGATTGTACAATATGTTTGCCTCCACAAAAATAAATAAAACTTAGTCTTCTAAGTACAAAAATGTAAAAAGGTAGGTCACTCTTAAAAAAATTAAAAATCTAGAAATTATATTTTCTGAAACTTTTAAGAGCTTTTTAGAATTATAATCCACAGAAGTTGTGGTGTGTCTCAGTTTTAGGCTTTTTCTTTTTTTCTAAAAGAAAAAAAAATTAAAAGAAACAAACACTATTTCCAACATGGCAGCTTTATTACAACCTGAGGAACATTACTTTTCATTATAAAAGCAAACTGTAGAAATTAGAAGATTTCAGTAATTCAAACTCTCAGAGTCAAATGTTCCTGAAACTCTTCCTTTTTTTGTACACAAAACTTCGTTTCTGAATCTATAATCGAGACTCCCTTTACAAAAGAGGATGTCTTCATATCTCTTAAAAATCGAGATATCTCAGTTCCTGGATAACATGACACTTTCGGGACAGGGAAAACTTGCATATGTCTATTGGGCAACTATGTCCAAATCACAGTATGGGGATAAATAATCTTCTCTCACCAACTCTGCTGCTTTAATGACTCTGCCTTGGCTTAGGTTTTTGTTTGTCACAATCTGGTTTTAATTCAACTGGTACAAGTTTTTGCAGCGAAACCACTTTGAGTACCTTTTCAACAGAGAAACTTCAAAAATCTGCTTTTTCAGCTTTCAGATGGTTTTGGATTTTTCATGCTACTGCAAAACTGTTTTACGCTGTATACTAGAAAGATGTCATGTTCAAGGACTACATCTGCCAATTAGGATTAGAGAAATAATAACAGAAGGAGATAAAAGAGTATTTCATCTAAAAAAAATCTCCTGCTACAAAGCCAAAAGCACTTATTTACAGGCTTTGTATCCAGCGAAAATTAACAAAAAACCAATTTGAACAGTTTTCCATAAGCTGCTTCAAAATCTGTAATTTACAATGAAATTTCCAATGCATTTAAATAACAGTGCAATATTACAAAGACTTATCTGTATTAGACAGTCCAAATAATATAAGATCATAAATATATATACACAAGAAATGTAAAACATGTACAAAACTGAGATATTGTCTTAAAATCATTTACATAAATACCAGATTCTATCCTTAGAAAGTTTTAGAAAGATTAAAAGAAAAGAAAATATTAATAATGAAAGTAGTAAAATAGTCACCAAACAGAAGCATAAATGGCTATTTTGAGTTAAGAAATTTTTTAAATGGCAGAACACCCTTAAATAGTACCATTATTTTCCTTCCAAAATAAAAATTTAATAAGTCAAAGAGTAGTATTCCATTAGCACATTCATTCAATGGCAACTGCAGGAGAGCTTCTAGGCTCCAATTCAAATCGAGCTAAGAAGCCCCCTGAATCATAAAACTACTTGCCAGCTGCTTAAAAAGGGAGCTAGCGCTCTATTTGATAAGTGATCATACACTTTTCATTACTTAGCTCATATAGCTTTTAAAGACATATCAGGAGGTACGGACATAATTAAGTGGGACATTTCGTAAAATTATCAGCATTTGTATTTTTAAGAACATCTGGTCAACAGTGAAACTTAAGTTCGTTCAAGTCAAAATATAAGCAGCATTATGTAGAAATGCTGCTCAATTTCAAGATAAAGGTATCAAGTTGGTAAAACTTCTGTTGGTGCTAAACGAGGTTGTCACTTTCGATTTGGCATTCCACGTGAACTATTTTCTCCACTACCCCTATCTCTCCCTCTACTAACTCCACCTCGATAAGAGTTATGACCACCTCGCTTGTCTGCATTGCCTATGTAATCACTCAATGTTGCTGGATGATTACTTGTATTATTATTGAAACGAGTATCATTAGCCCAACGCCTCACAGGACCGGGGCCACCTCCTCTTCCTCGTCCCCTCGGTGGTCCTCCACCTCGAAGTCTGACATTGTCACCATCAGAATTGTAGTTTCTTTCTGGACCTGGTCGACGAGGAGCAGGAAAATTCTGAGCATTGCCTACTTGACTTCTAAGTTGTTGATCGATTTCTAGCTTTTCTTGACGTAGTTTCTCCACTTCCTATAAAAAAATATAACAAATTTCCTATAGATAAAACATCCTTTAGAATACCAGAAAAATATATTAAATTTGGAAATACTTAAAGTTTTCAAGTGAATTTTAAAAAATTATGATTACCTTCCTACAGAGCAGTTTCTGAGAGTTTTGACTATATGAACGATTTAGATAGTCTGGTGCAAGACATTTTAGACATACTAAATGCTGTTTTGAAAATTAAATGCTGTCAGAGTTATAAAAGTCATCAGGCAATCTCAATCCTACCAGTGAAAAAAATTAATTAACCTGACCTTAACTATGAATAATGGATAATTTACTATTTCTCCTTCGTTCAAAAAAAAAAACTCACTACATAAAAAAAAACATTCAATCTAATTGAATTATAAAAAATAACACACTCAAATGTCATGTTATAAGAAAATTGTTACGTCTAAAATGCATTTAAAATACAAATTAAATTTTTTGAGAATGAGAGGTTATTTTTAAGCATCAGGAAGAAATTTTTGTTTCATATCATCAAATCTTTTCTAAAGTCTTCTCTTTTAATATATATTATATATTTCCATTGCTCCTTCAGGTTACTGAAGTTTTGATGTATTTCTAAATTTATTAATTTCAACATCTTTGAAATCTCTAATATGTTAAATGAAACATAGATTTTAAATTTCAGCAAATGATTTTGGTATAAGATATTTGGTAAGACACATATATACAGAACATAATTAATGTATCATTTAACATTTGGTAAAATTAATTTAATAGTAATTTTTTCAAAAGCTATACTTACTTTTAGGTGTGCCAAATGGTATTCTAATAGTATTTTGGCATTTGTAATACTTTCTATTGTACCAACAAAAACAAATGGAACCTAAAATTAAAATTTTAAAAAAAATCATTAAAACGTTTTATAAAAGATGTGAATTCAAAAGTACAAAACTCCATTTCAAACAAAGAATATAAATCAAAGTTATGGCCAATTTTAAGATATACAAACAACTTTAAATTCAACAAGCATATTTCATTTGATTATTCTATTTTAGCATCTTTTTTTATTTATGTACGTAACAAATTTTTAGACGAAATAGATTAATCATTTGTAATTCATACCCATCATATTGCAAAAATATATTTAAACACTAATTGGTAAATTTTCATTCCAATAAAGATAGCAAAAAAAAAAAATGCCACAGCACTATCAAGAAAAACAAGAATACTTAGTTTTGCTCATTCATTCCATTGAATTAATACATTATATACAGAAGAGCGTAGATCACAAATATTGACCAGGAAAAATGATTTACATAAAAATAAGAGATTCTTTTGATAATTAACTCAAGAATGCCAACTGTATTTATGTTTATCTCTATTAAGTAGGGATATGAATTTTAGTAATATTAAAATGAAACAAACATTTAATGTATAATCCAAATGCACATTTTTTCTGATAACTTGGTTACTCTAACACAGAAACAAATGCTTTCTTGCATTCTTCTAGAGAAGTGCAAGTTTTTTTGAACAAGTGAATTTCCTCATATAATGCAAAAGTTAAAGGTTGAAAAGGTTTTAAAAATAATATGATGAATAATAACCATAACTTATAGAAGCATCAAAAAGATCACTTTGATATTCCTGATTAAGTGGTTACTGATTAAGTGTCATGCGCTAATTAATATCTCAGTTAACCAACTTATTGAGAAGCCAAAAAGTTCTAAATCACAATCAATGATTTAACTGGTTATCAACAAAGTGACAAGAAGTGCAATTGGGCAAACAGTTGCTTACTAAGGCAATACCTTTTAATTTCTTTTATTTATAAACACACAAACCCAGGGTTTCTAAGGGGAAAAATCAGCTCATGCAGGGTGCATAGCCAAATCTTTCAACAAAAAATAAGCACCTTTTAAATACTTTTAAAGCACTCAAAAAATATTTTTAAGCACTATATACACTGACAAAATGCAAAATAATTTTCAAAGACTTTACACGATCATGATGAAATAACTAGTTTCTGACAAAGAACTCTTTTCTTGATTACATTAGCCATTATAAAATGATCGAGAGATTTTTCGGTTCTATATCAGAAGGGGGAAAATGAAGCCTCAAATTGAGAATATCTTGCAAAATGCAGCAGAGTTGCACAGGAGAGTGCAATAAACTCACCGAACCCAGCTCACTTGTATAAGCTATGAACTGACGGTACCCCAAAATGGATTATGGTTGAATGAATTGTAAAAATTTTGGATAGAACAATGAGAGAAGCACGATTTTGCATAATATGTGGCGAAAATAGACTGGTAAAGGAAAAAAATTTCATTTTTGAATTTCATTTTTCTTTTTAAAACACCCAATGAAAAAAGCATCTTTAAGGGCTTTTAAAAAACAAAAATCAAAAATGAGAACCTTTAAGCACTTTTCAAAAAAGCTACGCACCATGTCATGTGAGGAAACACTGCTGTCTAAAAATTCCATTACACAGCAAAATAAACTAAAATATTTATTTACAAATTAAATAGAAAATCAAAGTTTCGAGATTATATTCTGCAATCAATCATTATTAGTCATTTTCTTTTGAAAGCAGTATTAATAATAGACTAGGTAACTTTATTTATAAAAAATATACAAAATGTATTTTGTTACTTAAGTTTTGACTAAAAAGATGATTGATTTGTCAGAGCAAACACTGAAAAAAAATTACATCATAAATTAAAAAGTTTTGTCATATTAATGAAGAGAAGGTGAGAAAAAAACAGTCATATTTACAGAAAAAAGATTATAAGAAAGAAGAAAACTGCTATTTTTTTTCTGTCTTTTCTCCTAAATTACTATCAACAAAAATGCACGAGACTGGCAAACTCGAGAATGAATAATTAACAAATTCCAATAATTAACTTTTAGAAACAATTTAAGAATATGAAAATTAATACTTTAAAACTGAGGGTTTTTACGTTACTATATTTACCAAATGTATAAAGTTGACCCTTAGCATATTTTATAATATGGTTGAAAACTATGTATAAGAAATTACTTAATTCAACTTTTAAGACATAATATCTATATACTGAGAAACAAATTTTAAAATATAATGCACAAAGCATTAAAACAAAAATCTTAATTCAAAAAGCAATTTAAAAATTATGCAATTAAAGTGATCTTACATGTGAAATAAAGGGAAATTCAAGCAAAAGTAAAGCAGAAACAAAGTAAAGGAAAATTCAAAGAGAATGATAAACAAGAAAGAGGAAAATCATATTGCCAAAGAAAAGAAAACTTGAAATAAAATTTAGGAAATAATAAGCCCACTAAAACATATTGAACATCTGAGTAGTAGAACAAAAAAAGGAAGATTTGATACTTTAATAAAATCCTGAGTTCTATTAGAAATCACTGCAAATAGAAAATAAAAATGCAGTGGATCTTTAAAAAAATAAAAGCTAAGATTGCTATTCCCAGCTACACTTACACTGAAAGTTCGTTCTGAAACAGTGCCTTCCACCAAACTAGAAGTTCTGTCAGTCATACTGGGATGTGATGTTGGTTTTCTATGTACTTGAATGTCCAATGATCCTTTACCTGTTCTATGTTGAGGTGGACCACGTCCCTCCTGAATAATACAGGAGGAAATATAACCATAATTCTTTCAATTAAAACTTTTTTTTTCCTCTCACTATTTTCTATTAGATCTGAATTTATTCATGGAATTAAAAAAATAAAAAAAAGTGGCTATATAAATTTTAAAACTAAATAAATTATTTAAAATTCTTGGCATCTTTATGAAATTCTATCTACGCTATACGGAAAACCAAATAATAGTTCAAAGAAACAATCAAAATATTTACTAAAATCTAAATTCCCACAATGAAAAATATAAGAATCAGATTTTACTTCATTAAGAAGTAAATACTAAACAAAATAGAGCCTCTAAACAACAATTATATTTTGTACAAAAAATGAAGACTATTTTTTTAAAAAAATGCAGCAAATATTAGTTTAAGACTACTTTAACAAGAATTACTTTTTATACTTTTGTACTCTAAATAGACAACATTGAGAAAAATACAAGTAAATAAGGCCACACTAATAGAAATAACACAATAATTCTCAATTATTAAAACTTTAGCTCCAGTATATCATTTGTAATGTTTACAACAAAATTTTGTGGTAATTAAGACTTCTGATATTCAAAATAATGTAAGTGCAATTTGACTTACAGCGAAGAAGCTGAAAAGCTTGTTTAAAGAGATCCGTGTTTAAAGAGAATTAAATTTTTTCTTCTACAAAAGAGCAATCAGTTTTTAAAAATGACTTTCAAAATAACAAAACTATTAGAATTAATCACCAAGTAATCACAATCATCATCATTCCTATTGATTGCAAATCAATTATTTTGAACCATGATATGTTTAGAATAAAATAAAACAGACAATTTTCACAGAATTTTCAAAGTATTCAGTAAATTTAACGAGAACAAATATCTAATCAGTATTATAGTATTGTTTCTTATTGACATAAGGAAAACCTTATACTAGCAAAATCCAATCAAGTGATCAACAAAACTTTGATACATTTTATGCCTCTCTAAATGAGATATTAAAAGCACTGCCCATACTAAAAACTTAAAACTAATCATTAGATTTTTCTGTGCTAAAATACAATTTCATTAGCTAGAGGGATAGATCTTAAAGTTAAACTACTATATTTTCATTTAGTCTCGTTACATTTCTTCACAAATAAGCAATACCCATTCAGTACATATTTTAATTGCACATTTGCAGAAGACAAAAAATTATTCTTTACTAAATAACCTTTAAGCCATATACTAATAAATTGTGATTAAGTATTCTTTATAGAAAGCAATTAAACCACTGATATTACATATTAAGCAATTTTTACATCTCAGTTTTTACACATTAAACAATTTAAAAGATAACTTTTGCACATTTGTGTTAAAATAACGACTATGCATAAAAGTGAATGACTAAAATATTTTTTCTTCTGATGACTAATATATTTCTGAATGACTAATATATTTTAATATATTTATTGATGAATTTTTACACCCTTCAATTTTTGCTGAAAAATATTCAATACCTCCCTTTACCAGATAATCTATCAGTATTCTGAAAACAGAAAGGCTCCTGTTTGCTTGTAGACTGTGTGTTCCCTGAAGAAGTGTTGTCTTACAAACACACATATATTTTATTTTTTCCTGATTTAATGTTTATTTTTTTCCTGATTTAATGTTTGTTTGAATATCTAAATTATTCTGAAAATAAATAACATGAAAATATTGTGTAACTCTCCAGATACTGTCGAAATGACAATCACAATTTTAGGTACGTAAAATATTAGGAAAAATAAAAAGTTAACACAAAAACTAAATTAAAAAAATAAGATTGTGGAACTATTGTAAGATTTAAAAAAGTTTTTAAAAAAATGGACTTTTAAGAGATTAAGTAGCGTTAAGAAAAATAGAACTTCAAATCAAAATTACCTGCCCATTATAATTCTAGCATTAGTAACAAAATTTTAAAAAGGGCATCTATAAGCTTAACATTACTTGAATAAATTATTAACAAGAGATAATAAAAATCTTAAGTACATGTTGCATAAAATACAATTATATAACTTAACTGTAACAATCATACTTTGCTTAAAATAAAGAAAACATTTACTTTTCAATTTATATTTAACCTTAATTAAAATACTATTGCTACTCTGTGACTTATAACAACTAAATGCTTCTGCTAAAATGTTTCTTTTTATTAAAAAATCAGAAATAAAATTAATCTTGCGTTTGTGCAATGAATATATCTTTACAATTCATAATAACTTAATCATTCCTTACTAAAAAAATATTAAAATTATCTTAAAATATAAAATATCAAAATACATCAAAGTCAGGGTTGCCACAGAAAAAAAATGAACAAAATAGTTGCTTTTAGTAGCCTATAGCATGAAACTAGTTGCTGAAAAGTATTAATAGTTGCCTAAATAAGAACAAATATTTTTCAATATGACTACAATTTTATTAAAAGATTTAATTGTCATATACCATGTTCCATTTAGCCATACATTCATTTCAGGCCAAAAATAGTTGCAAATAGTAGCATATTAGTGTGGCAACCCTGCAAAGTATGTGTGAATTTTTACGATAAGATGTATAGAATAGTTTTGAAGTAAAAAAAAAATAGTTAGCTTCATTAACTGACACTTCATTATTTTTTTAATTAAATTAATGCCCTTTTTCCCTTCTCTTTCATATAAAAAGATTTGACATTTGGGTTGAAATAAAATTCATCAGATATTATAGAAAAGTTACAAGTATTTGCAAAACATTTGAGCAAAAAATACTTACAAGAGCTATTTTAAGTAGGGTTTAAAAAAATTTAAAGTGTAAGAAGATAAATGAAAGCTCACAACACAAGTTGCGCTAGTGTATCAACTCTACTATATAACCATCATCAGATTCTTAATAGCAAGACACATTAATGCACTTATTCACTGCTAGTTACAAGTAGATAAATAAGCAGCAATGCAATGATTAGCATAGAAATTCAGAAGTAAGTTAAGTTTTAAAAGCATCCAAGAGAGATTATTAGCTTTCTGAAATACTTTTTTTAATCACAATATACAGCAGCAATTGGTTGGACAAAAAAAACTCCAGTTATTATCATTTGCAGTTTAGTGTGGAGGGTAAAAATTTTCAAATAATTAAAACATTTAAAATAGCCCTTGTGTATATTAATAGCAATTGTTTAAGCTTAAATAATTATAGAAACCTTACCTCTTCCCTCGGAGATTGATTTTCATTATCACCTTCAATTTTTACTCTTACAACACCAGATTTATCAACTATTTCTTGAATTATTCTTCCATTTTTACCAATAACTTTACCTAAGTACAAATTTACTCTCATTATTAACTTAAAAAAAATCTAATATCAAATTAAAACTAATACTGGAGTGATAATTTAATTTCAATCATACTATACAAATCAAGCAAAACAATATTAGGAATTTTAGAGGGAACGCGAACCCTAGTGATTTTTCAAACTGACATGAAATTTGAGCACCCGAACATTGACAACAATGGTTATGTTTAAATTCTACATTAAAATTACGTAATGCATTTAATATTATGAAATAGAAACTTTTAAACTGATAGAAAGAAAAATGCAGGTCAAGCACTGTAATGAAAGTAGGCAAGGGTGGTTTTGTACATCAAAATAAATACAGACATGAGAGTGGTTAAAGAAAAAAAAAGTTAGAAACTACTTATACAATTCAAAATATGCAAAAATAGATAAACCATGTGAAACTATTTTGCACAAAAAATCTAATTAATTTACATATTATACTAAGTTGTTTTCTTTTCACTATATGCTGTACTGACAGTCCAACAAATTGTTAGACTGTCGGCTTGCTTACATGTATCATGATTAAAAAGAATAAATAATTGTTTACACAGAAATTTTTTTTACAGGACTGTAATAATTATAAATATACTAACCAACTAGGATTCGAGGCACTTGAACAGATTCTTCAGCATATTCTAGCATGCTTCTCGCTTTTTTAACTGCTTCTTGCGTCTAAATATAAAGGTAAAGTTATTTAATCATTTCATTCTCCACCAATAAAATATAAGGTAGATTTTAATTCCATGTTTTTTCAATCAAAAGATAGAATTTTAATTAACATTATTAGCATTTTTTTCGAAAAAATTATGTTTATTAATTACTTTTTACAGCTATGCAAGTCTATATCAAGACAGCATTAAATGTTTACTTTAATCTGTACTTTCAATCTTGAGAATCAAAAGATTTTTAAAAATGTAATTTCAAATGTGTTGGAATATAACACACACCAAGAAAGATAGTAATTTTGTTAACAAAAATTAATTAAAGCAGCAATTTATTAAAAATGAATTTTAAAATTAAGAAAAGAAAATAATAAAAGTATCAATAATTTAACTTTTTATTCAACTTCATCAATAATTTTTTTTTTAAATCATTTGATTTAAATCATGATTTAAAGATTTAAATCAAGCTGATTTAAATCAACAAACCCTGGTTTAGAACAGAAAATTTCAACCGTTTCCAGTACAATTTTATCATTTGAGCACAGAACAAATCTCACTAGTTTGAGATTCAAAATTCTACCCTTTAAGATTTGTAACAGAATTGCTGAAAATAGAAAATAAATAAGCATTCAACCTCTGAAATAATCTTAAAAATATGATAATGTAAAATGCTTGATTAGTTTTCTTTTTCACGAAATGACTGAATTCCCAAAATGATTAAAACACTGAATTTTGAAGGATTGTTTTGAACTACAAAATATTCATGTAGAAACACTACTAAATTAGAAGCAACATTATAACAATTTATTAAAAATAAATGAAATTACCTCTCCAAATATTTTAAAAGTACAACTACATTCTTCTAAATCAATTCCAGTAATACCATCTAATTTTCTTGCATTCTGTATATTCGCCCCATGGGCACCTATTGCTAAGCCCATTAAATCTTCCCTAACCGTAAATTCTTCTCCATAACCAGAATTTGAATGAAGGCGTGTACTCTAAAAAATAAAGACCATTTTTGTTAATACACTACACAGAAACCACAGGTAGATATGACTACCAAGTGGATTTTTTATCTTTTAAAAACAAAAACACTCATCTCAATTAAAATACATAAAACAGCCATTGAGAGCTTTATTAATGTTATAAACATGGGTGTCACTCTAAAAGAAATTTCAAGACTGAACTTATTTGATTTATTAACACAACTTATCACTCTTCAGCAGAATTTTCAAATTTTTTTTTTCTCTATGACTTCAAAAAGTACCCTTCCATAAAAACTACCTAAGGTAACTACCTAAAACTAACTTCCCAAAAAAATAAACACAGTAATATAATGGCTCATAACATATTAATGTGATTATTTTTTCTAAAAAATAAAAAAATTCGTCATATTTAGTTTATTTTTTTTACAGCAATAAAATCTACCTTGAACATCTGTTTACACCAATCGCGGTATAAAAGAACCACTACTTTGACTTGGAGTCATTCATGTCTATTTTTCACTTCCTCATCATCAATTTTTTGATCTAGCCCTATAAATTTAATTTAATAAAAAAACTCAATAAATAAAAAATTGCCAAATATTTCTAACATTAGGAAAACTCAAACTGATTCAGATTCAACAAAAGAAGATGAAATTCAATCATTCCAATTCTTTCATTGCAGTGTGACATTATTTGATCATTTAGCGATAATAATGAAAAATAATGTCTTCATTAAAAGGTTTTTCTGCTAAAAAATTTGAAAAACAAATTAGAGAGAGAGATTAATAGTAGTATGGAATTTAGTCCACTCGTTTTTTCTTTGGACTAGAGAAATATGGTTACAAGTTATAATACACAATTGTCTGAAAATTGAAAAAAGATTTACATGAAATATAAGATCTCATTTCAATAACAATCTAAATATCAAATTAATAAAACTTAGTAGCCGTAATAAAGATCTGATTATCTTTCAAATTCAAATAAAAATCTCAAACATATAAATCAACATTGTGAATTGAGAAAAATACTTTCATAAAAGCATCTGCTTACATATTAGATATTTCTATGCATAATTATAAGATAATTGCCATCTAATCATATGATGCATTCTCTTTTGACAGAAAAATCACTTCAGATCCTTAATATATTAAGATACATTTTTGGTTATTTTCAGACAAAAATAAATAAGTTATAAGGGTATTTACTTGCAGACTCTTAGTAAAGGTATGTTTGCAAAGGGTATAAAATTTTAGTAGAAAACCAAACAAAAAAAACTATTTCTTGCCCCTAGTAATGATGCCTTGATTTTGCACGGACGTACAGTCAATACATCTCTTTACACATTGGATAAATTTTATCTTGCCTGTGCAGCATTTTTGTCTTTTTGATAGTAAAAATGAAATATGCCAAAAATACTACTTTTCACTTTCTATATCAGAAAAGGCACAAACCAAAAACTACTACACACAATCAATACGTAAACCCTATAACTTAATTATGCTAAACACATGTATATCAGAAAAAAATATATAATAAACACATAAAATATATACACATTCAAGTTGGTCACTTATTATCCTACTTTAATCCATCAAAATACCTTAAAATTATGGCAATCTGAAATCATTGCTTTAGTGAACAACAATAATAAATGTAATTATTTTTAAAATACAATAGGCATTTCAAATATTTTCACACCCAACAAATATGCTTCGATCATAAAGCAGCTAAAACATTCCAAGCGCTATTGAAAACAAAATGCTTTTAAGTAAAATGATAGGCTTTACACTCATATATAAAGATTTTTGCACATGATTTTAAAACTTATTCAAGCATTCTTAATCTATCCATACAAAGTAGATCAGATAGAAAAAAACAGACAATTTTCAAACTTTAAAAAAAAAAAAAACAATAGTACAATAAATTTCTTGAAAATTTACACTGGGCTAGCATTTAAAATTAAAATTAACTAGACTAGCATTTTAAGTTAAATTACCAACATGGATGAAGATTTTACACAAAAGCATAGCTTCAAAGTTCAGATGAAAAACCAATGCTAATCAAAACTTCCAGGCAATTCAAGCTATGGTAGGCACATCCAGGCGTTGAAATCTTTGATGGTAACCTTACCAACCAGAAACTGCTAACGTAATAGAAAAGTTTCCCTCTCAACATAGTTTTTTTTCCCCACGAAACTTTCACCAATTTTTAAATTTTAAAAAGGTATTCATAACATTTAACAGTATAACATTTCACAGCTTACTGTGGTTTGAAATAAATTTATGCTTATTATTCTTATACACACAATATGAAAAAATATAAAGCCTCAAAACACAGGGAGAAAGGAAATTTGGGAGCCCTTGTGTGACGATTTTAAAGCATTTTATTGTGATCTTAATGGGAGAATATAAGACCTTTCATATAAGACCTTAACATTATACTTGCAAACATAACAAGAAAAAAAACTTATTTTTAGTTCAAATGCATGTAAAAAAAAAAAAATTAGAGCATAAAGAGTTACGATTAAACATTTCCATAATGAAAGATACAGCTATCTACGAAGAATTTGTCAGAGAAAGAAAATTTCAGTAAAAATATGGAAATAAAACATAGAATTTCTACAAAACCAATTTAAAATCTGCCACTGTTTTATAAATGCTTTCCATTTTAAAAAGTTTGAACTAAAATTTTATTCATTTACGATAATTCAAATTGAAGTAATAAGTTAAAAGTAATAAAAAATTATGGCAGGCAAAAGTATCATATTTCAGGAAACTAAGTTACAAAAAGGTAATAAAATTACATTTTATATATATATTTCTATATTTAAACACACAGTGAAACCTCCCGTTATGGACACGCCTGCAAAACGGACGCCTCTCAATACGGACATATTTTTAATCCCCAGTGAATATTCAATGAATAAACCATTATGTACATTTTCCACATAGTGGACACTCTCGTAACCGGAAGCGGACAGTCATTTTTGCCCCAAAATGTTATTTTCTATCGTTTCAAACCAGACACAACTTTTCCTAAATTTAAAAAAAATAAATAAATCTGCTTTAAAATGCAAGAAGAAAATATGCAACTTTTCATCATTTTTAAAGCATGTGATTTCTTTGCCATCCATTACAAAAAAATATTGTTAAGCTATTTCATTACTAAAGAATCAATCTGTCTACTTGCCTTATTTTTGCAAAGAAAGGAGAGAAAATGATACTGGTCTAGTGAAATAATTCGAACAGTGGCATCATTTGATCTTTTCATCTGGACGACACAGGTTACGAGACCCCTCAATTTGAAATGACGTCCTAAATGCTTTAAATGCTTCTTCCCCACTGAAAATTTCTTTTCCTATCAATTTGAAGACTGTATTTAACACAGCGGGGGAGGGGGGGAAAGAGAACAGAAATATTATCTGGGAATTGTTCATATATTCAGACACTTGACAGATGATCAATTGTAAATAATCAACTCCATAGGTCTTCATACCTTACAGGTATGCATTACTTTTTTTCTTCTTGTGAATCGTGGGAGGTTTACTTTCAAGGAGGTATTAACCATGTTTCCTATCAAGTGATAGGTAGGTGTTAGAGGGTTTAAACCTAACAATAGAAACTAACTGAGGACTAAAAGCTCCTATTCGGTATCACATGACTAACTTGAATATCTGTGTAACTCGTTAAACTTCGCTATTAGGGCACCCTTCCCATAAAACTCGCATTGACCGACAATTTTTTCAGTCCCAAGAATGTCCACTTAAACGAGGTTTTACTGTATGTATGTATGTATGTATATAGGAAAACTCAAACTGATTCAGATTCAACAAAAGAAGATGAAATTCAATCATTCCAATNTTTAATTTCCCAGAAATGTTACTTCTCCTCTTAACCAGATTGAATTATTATTCTAATGATTAAACCCATGTCTTGGAATTTCCCCACTCTCTTGCTTTTGAGAAAGAAGGGGTCACACATCAACTAGGTCCTATTATAATTCCAGGGTTGCCACAGTAAAAAATGAACAAAAATAGTTGGTTTTAGTAGCCTCAAGCATGCAAATAGTTGCCTAAAACTAAGAAAATAGTTGCCTGAACAGGAACAAAAATTTATCAAAAATAGTAGCCAAATAACTAAAATTATAGCTTAATTGTCAAATACTATTATTAGGACTGGGTGATGTCAGAAATTTCAAATCGTGATACATCGTCAGTTAGACATCACGATATAGTGATGTATCGCAATTTAGCATTTGTTCAAAAATTACCTATGGGAAATCTTTAAATCAATCAAAAATAAATAAAAATAAATAAATCTAGTACAAAAGAAAATATTAATTCTAAACATATTTTACTATGACATCAATACCATTGCTTAATTTTTTCAATTAAATTAATAAAGAAGTCTAAGTAAAAGCAAACCCAAGCTTTATTTCATTTTTCTTAAATTAAAAATGAAATAAAGAATTAAAAAAGATTTATTGGTTTAAAAATAATAATACTGGAACAAATTATTTTACATACATGAATTAAAAATTAAAAGAAGAAAAAAAACGAAAGTGGAAAACAAACCAAAAAAATGTTTACTTTAGAAAAAAAAAAAATTTCTTATTATTTGTTGAAAAAAAAACATGCTTTTGAAACATCATTAGCCCCTTTTTTATTTATTTATTTAAAATAATAAAAAGTAGAATTAACTAATAGTCAAATTCCGTACTTAATAAATGCAAAAATAATTTAACTTATTTATTATTATTTTCATTTTTGAAAATAAAATCGACTAAAGATTTATTCGTTTAAAAATGATACTGACTATCGAACAAATTATAAAACAAACAAGTATTGAAAGAATTTTAATAAAAATTTTAAAAAAATACTTAAAGTACTATGTTAAATTATTAAAAACGTCAAAACATTACTAAACTTTTTATTTAATTAAAAAAAAAATTGTTTTAACTAATAGCCAAATTTTTTTAAACATTTGTTTTGATTTTCTCAAAAATAAAAGCAAATTAAATAAAGATAAGCCTTGTCTTAATTTTTTTATAATTAAAAATGACTGAGTATTTATTGGTTGAAAAACAATCAAATTATTATACTTAACTACCTAATAGTCGCCTATTCCTGAAAATACTTGCTTTCTTAACCTTTTCAGGCAAAAAAGTCGCCATAGTCGCCTAAGGTCGAAAATAGTAGTAAATAGTTGCATTTTAGTAGCCTGTGGCAACCCTGTAATTATTTTTCCAAGCAAATAAAGGCATAACAATTTATATAAAACCAGTGGCAAAAATGCTTAAAAATAAAACATTACAAAAAAAATATTCAAAATTAAACAAATAAAAAGTATATACAAGTAAGCACATACTTCTAATTGGCGAGCTGCCTCTTCCGTCCTGTTCAGAAGCAACACTTTTTGGCGAAGATTTCGAAAGTGCATGTCACTGAGCATGCACGCCCTCTTCTTCAGTCCTTCATGCCTTCCCTGGGAAGAAAAAAACTAAAATATTCTCAGAAAAAAGCCAACTAAAAGTAAAATAATCAATGATATCAATATACTTATTAAAAAGGGTAATCAAAGTACAGTCAAACCCCACTACAGTGAACACCGTTTATAGTGAACTCCCGGATATAATGAACGAAATGTTTGGTCCCGTGCCTTGCTATACACGTGTTATTTTTTGTGGATATAGTGAACCAAAATAGTGAGGAAATTGTATATAATGAACTTTTTTCGGTCTTTGACTGATTTTTTTCTTCATTTTTTGGGGACCATTAGTTTGGGAACCATTAGTTAAATTGCCTGCGTAACGGATATAGTGAACTCCCGGTTATAGTGAACCAAAATTCTGGTCCCTTGAAGGTTCACTATAGCGGGGTTTGACTGCATTTACAATAACATTTTCATAAAGAAACAGACTAAAAAAGTACTCAAAAAAATCAATCTATTTAAAACATAATTATAAGGTAAAATCCACTTATCTCTCATTTTTCTAGATAAAAGATAAGAGGAAAATAATTGAGGGAACAGGAACTAATATAAAAATAACAAAAACGATTCTAAAAAACAAAAAGAGCACTGTCAATCTTTAAAAATTGGTTAATGTCTTTCGGTAGATAATTTTCATAAAATAAATTTGGATGTTGAACCTTTTAGTTATTACAGTTTAATGTTTTAAATATACTAAAAACACAAACATGTACCAGCACCATAACTTCCAACTTGTTAAAAATACAAATAAGAACATAAAGCATAATAAGACAACCAGGAGTAACAGTGACACAAGGTTAAAAACCCTGAAAATTTTATATGTAAAATATCTATATCAAGATATGAATTTACAAACCATGCATTTTTCATATTAAAACATAATTTTTTGAATTAACATTTTTAATTAAACTACTAACTAACGAAGAATATCACATTTTTATAGTAACTAATTCAAGAAAACTTCTTATAAGAATCACTATATTGGATTTTAAAATCGCGAAAATACAAATTGTGATATTGAATCTCTAAATCGCATAAATATGAATCATGATACATAATCTTTAGATCGTGTGGATACGAATCGTAATACATGGTTTATAAAGCGTGTGTAAACACAAAAATGGATGTTTGATATTAGAACTGCATGAAAACAAATCGCGATATTGGATTTTATTAACTCATAAATACAAATCTTGATATTGGATTTTTAAATTGTGTGAATAAGAATTACGACGTACGATTTTTAAAATGCATGAATACAAATTGCAATGTGTAACTTTTAAAGTAGGTAGTTAGAAAATTTGATTATTGTTACTAAAATCATGCGAATACGAATCACGATATTAGCAGATTCTAAACATTCAAAAGGGCGAAAATTTGCTAACTAAGATACTTTTTAATGGGATTCAAGTGAGATTTAGCAAAACTTACAAAATTTTGTACAATTATAAGTTTTGGATATGCGAAAGTTTGCAAATAAATGATTATAGTGCTAGATGCAGAATTATTGGAGCACAGTGACGAAGAAGAAACAATACAACCTACTTGTAGTTTCAAGAATCATTCATTTTGAATTAAGTATGAAAACTACTAATAACTGTGAAGGAGAAAAACAGATCTGTGCCGAAGCACTGAGTTTCCTGGGAAACTTTATAACATCTTGGAAACGGAAAACAAGCTAGCACACCAAAGCTTGAAGTGATAAACAATATTCACAATGGCAATATTACAACACATTTCCGAGGTATTTATAATAAAGAAACAGTGAAGATAAGTTGTTTACATTCCTCTCCTTAAAATAAATATTTAAAGAGTTATACAAACAGGTATGTTACTCCTCTAGAAAGATAATATAACCCAAAACTTTAATTTTATAATAGGGTGAGCATAATAGAAAGGAAGAGCCAAATAATTTGTGCAAACTATTTCTAACTAAGGTCTTGAGAAAAGTAGAATTCTACAATATTCAGGGCAAATCACATGCCCTGCTTCTAGATTTTATAGCTGCACTGCGTCGAAAGAAAATCAGTAAAATGAGTATTTATGGAACAAGACTAGAAAAACCGGAAGAAATACAATTTAATCGAAACAGTAGGCAGCTATGTAGTACTATAGTCATTAGAAATTTGAAACTATAGAACTAAATTGAAACTATAAAAGTTATAGGTGAAAAATGTATTGTTTTACAAAGAAAATTAAAACCAAAAAGGTATTGTCCCTATATGTGATCTTTCTGTATAACAGCTTTGCGTATGAATAGGTGGCATTACTCTGGCATAATACGGTACCACTTACCCTTAAAAATTATTAGTATAGGGTATACCAGGCAAATGTACACCAAGCTTTGGGACTAAAAAAAACTTAAATTTAAGAAAAACGATAGTTTCACAAAATACTTTTTTAAAAAAACAAGTTCTCATGCTAGCCCCATTCCTGTTGCAATCTATGGAAAATAGGATTTTTTCTGCCAGTTTTCTTACGAAAAGGTAGCACGTGTTTGGTCAGATAGTGCAAAATGGTAAGCCTAACCGGTCGCTTACATCATATCAAAGCAAGTTTTTTTTGCTAATTTTTTTTAAACAATGAAACAAAAAGGCTTTCCCTCGATAAACTTTCTAGGAAATCGAAATTCGAACATTATGCTAAACAGTATCTTAAACACCATTGTAAATTTATTCAAACAGACCTTTGTTTTCATTAAACATTTTTTTCTCTGCAAAACTTTTTGTATGACCTAGGTGAAAATGTTCTTATAATAAAAATAACTTCTAGTGCTAGTACTGTAAATGGCAAGGTTTTATTAAATTCAAGTTGAAATTAACTATCGACAATGATTTTAATGGATTTTTAAAATTTGGATACAATTTTAAGCACAAACAATAAAATAGCTAAATTATTTTTTGAATTTATGGGGAAAAATATTAAGAAATTTACCATTCATAATTGATTTTTATTTTTAGTGACAATTTTTGAAAATAATTTCTTACCTTACCATATTTTTGTGTTGATTTTTCAATTTTCACAAATTATGTCTAAATTTTCACAAAACAGGTACCTCTCAAAAACACCTAGACAGAGCCCTGATTACATTGGTAGATCACACATTGAAATATTACCCCCAAAAAAATTTTATGTTAAACAATCAATATATAATAAAATATATTTTCATTATTCAATGAAGATTTGGCAAAAAATTGATTGAAGATTCTGCACAAACATTAAATCAGGTTACGGAGAGTGACAACATTTAATATTTTTTTTCTTTACAAAACAACTCTGTTTAACAATGACAACTTTACAAAGAAAAAATCACAATTTTACAATTNGAAATATTACCCCCAAAAAAATTTTATGTTAAACAATCAATATATAATAAAATATATTTTCATTATTCAATGAAGATTTGGCAAAAAATTGATTGAAGATTCTTTCTAATCAAATTTATGCACAAACATTAAATCAGGTTACGGAGAGTGACAACATTTAATATTTTTTTTTCTTTACAAAACAACTCTGTTTAACAATGACAACTTTACAAAGAAAAAATCACAATTTTACAATTTTTTTATGATAAGAAACAACTTAACCAATTTCAGGGAGAGAAACAAGTTAGGCAGCTAAATGTACAAAAAATTCTATATCTCCAAAAATGCACAAAAAATTTGTGTATTTCTCTATCTAAATTGGCAACACTGAAGTCATCTAAAAAAACTAATTTTGTTAGGTTGTCATAACCTTTTGCTTACAGCACTCAGCATTATAAGGTTATTCTGGTCTACTTATTGTACCAGATGGGGTTAAGTAATAATTTAAGAAATGTTAAATAAATAGTTATATGTTAAGCACTTATTTAGATTCATTTTATTAGATAATAAACACTGCTATAGTGACGAATACTGTTGTACCATTTATTGCTGAAGGAGCTTGCTTCTTTAGAGCAATAGCATTATAAGTTACTCAAGTTATGACTCAATAGGAGTGAGGAAAAAATACAGCACAAAATGGAGCATCGGGATTAGTTTTCTATCTTATCTCATTACAGGGATGGAAATAATTTCAATATTTCTGCTGCTAATATACTAAAACGCTCTGATACTTAATGGTGTTTAGCAAGATATAATGGCTGCCACAGATTTCAACCATCATTAAAATTAAATACATACAGAACTTAAACACCACAGACATCTCTAAAAAAACAGATAAAATTTAAATCAAAGCATTTCCGCACAGAAAACTAGTTTAACTAATCGATAGAGAGTGAATTTTGATGAAATGATAATTTTAAATAAAAGTTATGATGAATGAATAAACAATTTCGAATGGAACAGTATTGTCATAATGTAATGAATAGGATGCAAAAACTTTCAACTTTAAACACTTTCTAGAAAGATAAAGTTCCATTTTTAACAAAAGAGCTTCAACCATCTTACTAAACTTGGTGAATTGTGGTATGTATTAAGAATTTATATCAATATTGCACTTATGACATTTTTATTTGTATTGGACATTTAGGAAATTCATAATATTTAAAATCATCCTTCTTATGAATTGCAATTTTGGGTTTTAAAATCGTGATATTGGATTTTAAAAATCGCGTGAATATGAATCGCGATTTTGGATTTCAAAATCTCACGAATATGAATCACAATATTGGATTTTAAAATCGTGTGAATATGAATCACGATTTTGGATATTAAAATCGCGAGAATATGATTCGCGCAGCTGGATTTTAAAATCGCGTTAATATGAATCACGATATTGGATCTTAAAATCGTGTTAATATGAATCACTATATTGGATTTTAAAATCGCGTTAATATGAATCACGATATTGGATTTTAAAATCGCGTTAATATGAATCACGATATTAGATTTTAAAATCGCGTTAATATGAATCGCTATTTAAGATTTTAAAATCGCGTGAATATTAATCGCTATTTAAGATTTTAAAATCGCGTGAATATTGATCGCTATTTAAGATTTTAAAATCGCGTGAATATGAATCGCGATTTTGGATTTTTATAATCGTGCGAATATTAATCGCGATTTTGGATTTTAAAATCACGTGAATAGGAATCGAGCTGTTGGATTTTCAAAACACGAAAATATTAAATTGCGATATTGAATTTTTAAATCATGTAAATAAGAATCACGAAGCATAATTTTTAGATCATGTGAAAACGAATTGCAATGAGTAATTTTTAAATAGCAAACAAATACGAAAAACGATATCTGATATTACAACTGCGTGATAACGAATCGCAATTTTGGATTTAAAAATGCGTGAATATGAATCGCAATTTTGGATTTTAAACTCGCGAGAATACAAATCGCGTTATTGGGTTTTAAAAACGCTTAAATACAAACCGCAATATTAGATTTTTAAATTGAGTGAATAAGAATTGCCAGTAAAATATTTAAATTGCGGAAAAAAATCACAACACGTACGTTTTAAATCAGCTAAATACAAAAATCGATGATTGATATTAAAATCGTCTGATTAAAAAGCGCGAAAACAAAAAAATTCAAATATCGGAGGTCGAAACGAAACGCTTAGAGTCCTTTCCACTCTGCAGCGGAAGTCACGGTAATCCGACTATCGTTCAGGAGACTTGGGTTTCTCTAAATGGACTCCCCAAAAATTTTTGTTTTTTAAACATGGTCGGAAATTTTAAAAATTGGGTGGAAAAAGCGAATTTCCGCTTTTTCGCGGAAGTCTTTCATCCCTGCTGTGTATTACCAATATTTTTTTCAATTGCAATGAATGTGAATTCAAAAAACAAAACAAATTTTATCTTTACAGAGAGAAAGCAAAATCTTTATATTTTAATAGTGGAATACAGGGTCTGCTTCTCGAAGCTAAAAATCATCAATAATAATTGATGAAATAAAATTACTACCAGTAAATATCTTCATGAATAAAAGAACTGACCTCAAACAATGACACCAGGAATTGAGTTGGATATAGTTGAGTTGGTAATAACTAATTGAGTTGGTAATAACTAAATAATTTTTAAAAAAATTTCTAATACAGGGCAATTTTATAACAAATTGTTACATCAAAGAATAATGAACATGAAAAATTAAAGTCAAAGATGAATATTAATTTGGCAATCTTAGTCAAAATGTAATGCTCAAAATTCAATATCCAGACTTGTAAACCTAATAACTTTCATATAAACAACCAGATTTTAAAGTTTACAACAAAATTTGTAATGATTTAATATTGTACTTTATACTTACTATAATTTGCAGGCTTTTCTTTTCTGCATTATATTTACAAACAGCAGCACCAATAGCTTTCTTAAATTCTTTATGGGCTGACTCAGTTTTGGAACTGAAAAAGTTAATTTAAAATATAAAGTTAAAATATAAATTTAAAGTATTTAAGTTATTGAAACCCACTTATAAAATGATATAACATAAAATTGAATTATAGGTTCAAAATAAATTTGGGAACGTTAACCTTTTAATTTTCCTTCGACAAGGACTAGGTCAACTTGACGATAATAGTCTAAAATTTTTTGGTCGTTCAAAATTTTTAAATTTTTTCTTCAATTTGAATAAATAAGCAAAGGAGAGAAAAAACAAGCACAGTAAGATATCCTTTAAACATAATGCCTGACATGATGAGAAAGGAGAAAAACTAGGTTGAAAGATTGGGAGAATGCCTAGCCGTAGAGAATGGGATATCATCAAAAACACATTATTAATGTAATGCCACAACTCCTAGTTGCCACATGTTATATATTTAATTTAGGGATGTAACGCATAGTGATTTGGCCCAACAGCTAAAAACCAAATATTCGGCCAAAAAGTCGATGAACAGCAAACTTTTTTTTTTAAAAAATCATTAATATATATTATTTTTTATATACAAATAAGTTTAGTCATTATTGAAAAATAATCAAAAATCAAAACTTAGCTGTATTGTTGGTATGGGTAAAGAGAAAAAAAACTTTAAATGTTTAAGAGAATAAAGATAATTCAATATTATAATTCAATATATAAAGATAATTCAATATATAATTCTATTTAAAAAAAAAAACTGAAGATGTAAAGTTGAAAAAAGAACTATAGAAAAATATCCTCTTCATTCCAAAAAATAAAACTTTGATGCTAAAATAATATTTTTCGTAAAAAAATAATCCATAAAACATTAAAAAGAGATTATTAAAATCGCAGTTAAAATGCAGCGCTATCATAAAAACAAATATTTTATACAATAGCAAAACAGAAAAAATAGAATTCAATCTTAATTTTTGAAAGAAAATTTTAAAGATAAACATTCTAATTTTCCATTCTAATTTTCCATTTTAATTTTTAAATGAAAAATTAACTTTTTCCCATTGCTTCATGCTTAGAAAAAAGTGACCCATAAAAGAATAATGTTCATTAGAAACGCTCTTTAAAAAATGTGGTCATAATTAAAATGCTGATTTAAAAAAATCAAAAGAGAAACAGAAAAAAAATTGGTTTTAGTTCTGAGATATAACTAGAGTTGAGAATCACAGTATTTTATGTTACTAATTACCTTTTACTCTACAAGAAAAGAGACAATAATAAAACAAAGTCTATTAGAAAAAATTCCAAACATGCTTCACTTCAATTAAAACAGAAAAACAAGCAAAAATGAAAAGAAAAAAAAAACATTTCAATTTTAAACAAATTAAGTGTTGAAAGAATGATGTAACTGACTTGCCTGAATATAATTAAAAAAGAAAAAATTAACATTACAAAACTCATGGTTCAGTATAAAGTAGTCTAGTTTCAATTTTTCAAATTTTGCTTTTCCATGGTCTTTCAGAACATAAATTAGCAAGTTTAGAACTTAAAAAATATGCCTAAAAGCTATTTCTAATAATGTATAGAATAATACGATTTTAGATTATTCTTTATTAAATCTATTAACTTTTCTCCCAAAAAATCTTGGTCAAAAAATAATTCTCTAAATAGTACTTTGCCGAATATTCAGAGCAGCCGAAGAGTTTATAAATGAAATTAGCAGCTGCAAAATATACTTAAAAAATTTATTTTGATAATAATGAAGAATAAAATTTTTTGTGTCATCATTTTATCAATTAAAATTATAGTTACCAATTATAGTTGCAAAATTATAGTTATAGTTAATGTTTTATCAACCAAAATTATAATAAACAGTTGAATTTGTAGGTCTGTAATGGTATACAGGGGTCTGTCTAGGCTTTCCTGAGAGGTATTTATTTTGTGAAAATTTAAACATAATTTGTGAAAAATTAAAAAATATATTAAAAAATCAACACAAAAATATGGATTTATTGTTTCTTAAGGGATAAAAAAATAAAATGTTAAGAAAAAATATTTTGTGAAACTACAGTTTTTCCTAAAGTTGAATTTGTGAAGGTACAACTAAACAGTAGTAAATTCGGCCTGGACAGACCCCTGGTATATGATTTAGTTTTGGGTGTACGCATTAGTTGGATAAAGTATGCTGAATCATAGTTTTCGAAAATGAACAGTTATTATAATGGTTATCAGAGAAGCATAATCCCTCATTTTAGGTAGTTTAATTTTGAATTGAAAAATTGAGAAATAATGATGTAAAAATTTTTATAAACAGATATCTTTTTGATAATTAATTCAATAGTTACTGAAGGAAAAAAAAAAATTTTTTAAGTTTAATTTTTTAATTAGTATTTCACTTAATTTTACAACAATAACCAAAATATCTAATAAATTGTTGGTTTTTTGTTTGCAAAATATATTACAGGTTTTTAAAATCATTTCTGGTTTAAAGAATTTAATCTCAGGTATTATCACTAATCTGGTTTTAAGAATTAATCTTAGAACTCCTGTGAACCTTCCATGGAACCCTAGGGTTCCACAGAACCCCACTTAAGAACATACAACACCATTAAGAACGTATAACGTATTTAAGAACTGCAATAACGTATTCCACTGTTTCAAATTTTAAAATATGACAAAATGAGTAGAAAAATTTTAAGTACATTCTTAAAAATATACTGTCTGACTTGTTCATTGAGAGCTATAATTCAACCAGATCCTGAGTATAACAAGAAAATTTGGTTGGTTTGATATTAAATGGCTTACACAAAACTCAGTTGCAAGATAGTTAAAAGGGCAAAAATTTCAACGTATGTTAAATACCAATTTAATAATAAGGAAATACTCCAATAAAATTAGCCAACAGAATCGAGTAATAAATATAAAATATAGATTTATATACTGAAGACTTATGGAGATAGCTTAAGAAATGAAATGATAAAAACTCACTAAATTTAAGAATCTAACCTTTCATTAATGATAGATTCTTATACATATACATAAGAAATAAAAATAACCTAATTTATCAGTTTCTCTCCAGGTACTTATTTCCTCCCACTGTATTGGACTTCGTACGTTATAAGGCAAAAAATGACTCATTTAAATTAGGACAAAATATCCTTTATCAGAAAAATCAGGACAACTAACAGACTCTGTTTTAATATTTTTATTTGATAAAAGCAAGCCTTTTCATTCTAGCCTCCTTTTTTTATTTTATTTATAAGTGGTTGAAACCAATTTTTTTTAAACTTTTTTTAATTTGAAACAGATAAAAAATGAAACTGAGAAAAGAGATTTATAGAACTCACTATTCTTGCACATCTTCAGGTACAGGAATCTCGAACTGATGAAATGTGCCTTTTGTGATGGGCTGACTAAAAAAACATGTATATACATGAAAAACAGAACAATACTTACATTTCAAATTTAACACATGAAGAAAGGCATAATATGAATTTTTAAAATCAAAATAACTTAGACAAAATGTTAACATTAGAAGTTTATTTCAGAAGATATTGACAAAAACGTTATAAAACTAGAGCATTCCTTGAATAATAAAATGTAAAATTGGGTTATTTATTTAAACACTATAAGCACTTTATTTGTTTATTTTATACAGCATTTATTTTGATACAAAACTACAGATCAAAATAAGAGAAAAAATTTATTAAATATGTAGGTTTATTTGTTTTACTTTTTTCATTACATAGTTAATTTTTATAGCAGTTTGTGTCCATAACAAGAAGTTTATTATAAAATAATTACTCAATTATGAATGTGTATTTTTTTGTAATTTATTTCACTGCTTTTCTTAAACATAAATAAAATATTACTCTTAATAAAAAAATTATATTAATTCTTCATTAAAGGTTAACCTAAATTCAATAAGAATTTTCTGCATTTAAACGTCATAACAAACATTTTTAATTAATATTTTTCGATAATGAATGCTTCAATATATTTAAATATATTGAAGAATTTATATTATATGATTGGGTGGCAACACCAGGAAATCAAAAATCAGACAATTTGAAGACTCTGGAAATAAGGTGGAAACACAAAAAATAATTTTAAAATTCTTTTATAAAAGTGAATATATTTTATACATACAACAAAAATGTTTGTTCAATGTATAAATCATTGAAACAACCAATGGTAAAGAAAAAAAATAGCACATACAAACTAAATAAAAAATAATTACACATCCACGATCGTGATTGATACCATGAAATATAATTTTTAATCTCTCTGCTAAAACTTGCAGATAATCAGAACTCTAATGAATTTTATTTACATTTTAGTTATGAAACTTAGTGCAACTTACTTAGTATTTTTTAAACGTAACCTGTCACTGGGTACAATTTCTGTGTACGTTGTCTCCCAACCTAAATATTCAACAACATGAAAATCTCCTTTAGTCATTTTTACCAAAGCACGCCACCAACCACAAGCCTCTTGTTCATTAGCTCGAGAAAAAACCTGGAAAAAAATTAGAACATCTATAATAATTTTAAAAAAGAAAACAATTGTCACAAAAAAAATAAATTAACACTTTGCTGATAATACCAATTGAAACAAGAAAATTTTTAAAGCATTATTTTTCACTGAAAAAAAAAATGACTTGAGGTAATAGTTTTGTTAGCAGATGTGATCAAAAAATATGGAGAACATATAAATAAATAGCATAAGAAAGAAAAAAAAGACCTACAAAAAAGAGTTACCAAGCTAATCGTTCTAAGAATTCTTAATAAAAGAAAAATTACAAACATACCTCAACCTCCTGACCCTCAGTCATGCTATTTAGAGCTTTATCATCTTTAGGTGTTGTAGGTGGTAGCCTCACACGATGATATGGGAACTTGCTTTCAGGCTGCCATCTATAGTAAAATACACTCATTAGTCACTGCAACGCAGTAATAAAAACACCTTTTTGTAATTATAAAAAAAAAACAGGGTTTAAAACAGTGATTCTCCGACAATGGCCAACTAGGAGAATGTGAAAATATTAGTTAAAAGCATCTTATAAAATAAAACACAGAAATTAAATTCCCTTAAATTAAATAAAAATAGCATTTAGATTGGATTTTAAGTAGTTCAGCACTCTAAAACATGCTCTAAGATTCCATTTTACTCTTTAAATTTCTTGAGTAAATTTTAATGTAAAAGGAAATCTTTCAATTAATAGCATAGTAAAATTTGAATTTAAAGCCTATGAAGCTTCATTATTTTGAGCAGTTAGATTTGTTTGTAAGCTAATAGAAGAGCAGTTACTTTGCAAATGCATTAACTTTTTGCTTCAAGACAAAGAAAATAAGAGATAAGAAATGAAAAATAGTCATAATTAAATACAAGAGAGTTAAAAATTACAAGAAATATTGAATTGAAGCCTGAAAAGGAAAAATTTTGGAGAACTTTTAAATAAATACTGCATAACACAATATGATACCAACAAAAAATGAATCCAAACTCACATGAATAAGGCTAGCAAAACGTAAGAAAATAAACAACAGGTCTACAAGGTTTTTAGTGTCAGAAACGAAAACTTTGAAATCCCTTCATCTCTTAGCCACAATAAAAATAAAAATAAAATTTGCAACAATTAACACAATTAGAAATAAAAGCCTTGCCTTTGACTTCATCAACAAAAATTATGGGAAATACCAATGACAATCCTAATTTTCAATGGCCTGAATCAATTTGGATTAGTATTAAGTTTTTACTGTGCATGATTTTCAAGCTTAGTGATTTGGATATATTTTGCATGTTACTGGGATCACTAGTTAAGAACTAGTTGGTTTCCTTCAATTTCATTTTTAAACAAGATATAATAAGGTCCAATAGAATAAGTCGAAACTCTGATTCAGTAATGAGGAAAATAACATAAATTGTGAAACTAAACGTCATCTAGTTCTTACACATTTACTGATTTTACACATAACACACATTTACTGATTACACATTTTCAAAAAAGAAATAAGTTAAAATAGTCTCAACTTATAGGTTAAAATAGTTAACTTATAAGTCGTAAGTTAAATAAGTCTGAAGAGCTGAGTGGGTAAGTGTGGGGACAATTAAAACAATGAAGAATCTCGAGAACAACCACTCTCTGATTCACAGTAAAATGGACGTTAATGGAGGTTGGTCATTTTTGGGACTTACCTCCATGGACTTCAAAATGTTATCGAAATAGGATTTCTCACAAACAGTTTTAATTTCAGTTATTATCATTTTTTTGGTAAGGAAATGCCACTGGTGATGGCATCATGAAAAAAAGATTAATGATCAAAATTTAGTGACAATAAATATTATACCTACTGATATAATTATGTGTAAAAAGAAATTTACCAATTATGAATGATAGAACTATTTTAAATAAATAATCATGTTTAAGTATGCATTCAATTTTTTATCATAAAAATTAGTTAGCTTTAAAAGATGAGAAGATTTTAGGTTTTCTAAGACTTTTTTTTTCTAAATTAACTTTTAACACTTAAACTTATTAACTATTAAAGACAAAAAATTAATTTCAACCTTTCATTTCAATATTTTTTCGCTTTTTATTGTTTTTATATTTTTTGTTTCAATTTGGTTTATTAATTTAGCCATTTCTGCTTTTGGCACAGAGGTTTGCTCGGTCGCTGGGACAGGTTTTGATGGTCTCTCCTATTCAACACAAAGTCTATGGAAAAAGTTCTGTGCCTTCAAAAAGTGGTCCCATATAAAGGATGTCACTACAAAGAGGTGGTCTGTCTCGGAGGTTTTACTGTATAACATGCTTTCAGTTTAAATATTCTTATTAGTTCAGAGAATACTCCTTGAATAATTTCTTTTACAGAATATTTTTCATTTGATGATGCGAATTATTTAATGAATTAAAAAACAGAAAATGTTAAAAATGTTTGTAACTGTATAATAATTGAGGAAATAAATTGTTTTGAAGCCGATTTGTTTTCTTTTAAATTTATAGAAATCTTACTTAACTTGAAGAAGTTTTATTCTGCTTTTGAAAAAAGGTGAGAAATACCTCCCTTTTTTTTCTAGGATAAAATCTCTGCATTGGGCCAAAAAATAAAACTTGAGATAAACAAGATAGGAGCACAACTAAAATTTGGTGACATGTTTTCGTGTCCATGGATTTTCAGATAATATCAAGTCTGGACTATTGCAGCTGCCAGCTTCGGCACCTCTTGACTGTAGAGAACAGCTCTTAGATTGTCCTAAATAGGTTAGGGTTCCTACACTATTTTGAGAAAACAATATCCTGACTTTTGCAGGTTTTTCCTGACCTTTTACTATAAAATTCCTGACCTGCCGTTTCCCACTCCAACAAAGCTTTTAACGTTGCAGTTTCAATAAGTAATAATATGCTACTTAGTCATAAGTATCATATATTGAATAGGATAAACACTTATATATTAAAGTGGAATTGGGTAATAGCACTTTATCCCAAAATATATTTTCAGAAAACTTGTGAAACACATTTTTAATTATCATGATTAAATTAAACTTTTAGTGTGTTTTTGTAGTTAGATACGAAAACTATTTAAATTAAGAAGATCAAGAAAATCTGTTGGATTATGGAAATATTATTTTATTTAATGTTAAGTGGAACCAAATGCATGAGTGTCATCAGGATATAAAGGGTTAATCAAATCTGCGAGATATGTATCAGTATCCTCAAATAATTTTTACTCTTAAAATATACTAGAACATTTGTTACATTAAGTTATTAATTTTTAAAAATCACCAATTCACTTCAAACTGACTTTTCTTTTAAAAGATAATATTGAAATATAAAGGGGAAAAAAGTCAAGAAAAGTTAATTATATACAAATAAAAATTCAGATAGAAAAATTATGCAACTTGTGAGAAAAATAAAATCAAAAATATTTTTTTTTTTCAGTATTTTTAAATTTATTTCTGTAATACTGTAAGCTTCCGGAGAAACTCAGGGGCTCCTATGTTATATAATATTTCTCAACATATTTTGTTGTTTGACAATTTCTGAATCAAGAACATCCAGTTCTGTTGCAGCAGTTTTCGTCAATTTAGATTTTCTGAATTTCAAATCATCTATCTTTTCTTTTATTAGTTTTCTAGAAATTTCAGCTTTTTTATTCTTACGTTTTTCTTTTTTTTTGCTTCTAATGCATGTCTCAATCTTGTTCTAGATTCGTTTACAGCATCTAGCCTTTTTTCATTAATGTCTATGTTTTTTATTCCATTTATAAATGAAACATAATCATACACACGCCTTTGTGAAATAATAGAGTCTTCATTGAGGTTTTCAACCAATTAGCTTTTATTGATTGAAAACCCCCCTTCGACTATTGCGTTACCATGAGGGAGGATAAGAACAATTTTTATAACCTCCCACAAATTTTCAAATTTTTTTTTCTCCGTGCAAATATTTCGAGAAAAATGATCTAATCTCTTTTGCTGTGGATTAAACTCTAAGAAACTCTTTTGCTCATCTTTTTTTTGGCAGCATCACAAAACAGTAAAAATTCCTTTTTTGATTTTTCTGCTGTTGTTTCAGCTACTATTGTCTGTAAACCAGTTATTCACACAACACAAAGAGCAATAAACCTAGCAAACCTAGCAAAAATTCCTTATCATTGAATAAACAGGAGGAAAATCGCTAACAGGACAGGTTCTACCAGGGAAAGAGGAATGTTATTATGAGGAAATTACACATTTTGAATTACTGAATTTTTCCATGAAACTTTATTTTTGCCTGTCAGTCTTTGAATGAACTACAGTTTTTTTCATTTTCCTAACTTTATGAATATGTAAGAAAAATCCTGACTTTTTAGCTTAATTTTAGAATATCCTGACCTTTGCAGGTTTTCCTGACCGTGTAGGAACCCTGTAGGTACCTGTCCCAATTTCAAAACATGTGTTGTGTGTGCGGGGCACTCGAAAGTCTTGGTACCAACATGATATCCGGGCAGTTTCGGCAGGGAACGTATGTCCTGGTCTTGACCGGGAGAATTTTATCCCTCTGAAATGATTGGTTCTAAGACTTGCTATAACCGATTTCAAGGCTCTAGGGCAGTTGAAGTCAGTGACAAATGTCTTCTTAAAGGTGTGAGGCAGAAGTCTTTTTTTGGCCGCTGCATTTGCATCTGCAAATGTGATGGTGTTATCGTCTTCATTGGCCAATCGTTTGGCACATTCATTGCCCTCGATGTTGACGTGTGCAGGGATCCACTGAAGATGACATGATTTTCTCCCACAATTCAGACTCTCAAGCATTACATTTACGGCAGAGGTGATGCTCAAGTCACCTTTAATAATTGCTTCTAGGGCCGATTTACAGCCAGAAAGGATCACTAGCCTGTCAGTGAGGGCTGAGACATTCGAGTCATTCAGGTAGAGAGCGACAGCTTCTTTGATTGTTAAGAGCTCGCTGGTGAAATTTGAAGCTATCAGGCCCATATTCCTTTTAAATTGGTAATTACTACCATCAGGAAATTTGGAGACATGTCAAACATATTTATCTTTTTAGTTCCTTTAAAAATAATAATTGAACCAGGGGGAAAAAATCCATATTTTATTTGAGTTCTAGCAAAAAATGCCCTCCCTAAACATAAATACAAACATGCTGGTAAGTTTACAAAATATTTTACAAGTCATAAATTTTGATATTTTAAGCAAATATTTTAAGTTTAAAAAAATTAAAAAAAGCAAGTATAGTAGGAAAACAAATCTTACTCATTTTCGAATGCAACAGTGACTTCATCCTCATGAACATCTGTGATATAAGCCTATAAAAATCAAGAAAATTAGTAAACAATAAAATTATACCTACATCAAACCTTAAATCAGGCTTATAATTATAAAAGAATATGTTTATCTTAGTTACTTTTAGACTCATTATTTAAAAAAAAAAAATATCTAAATAACAAATTTTATATACATTACAATTTTAAACCATGTAAATCAAATTTCAGGAGCACAGCACTATAAAGAACTAGTATAATGAAATATTAAATTTAAAAAGAATTTTTTTAATTGCATTCTTAAATTCAGAATTAAAGGTCTAGCTTAATAAGAATTTAAAAGATAGAAATAAGAGGAAATAGGGCATGCTATTAACGTATATCAGGACAACTTCAGCTTTGGAACCATTTCTTTCTTGTTCTGTAACCTAAACTTTAGCACTGGACATAGACAATGCTTTTACTACAGCCAAAAAATGCACGTATCGCATTTAAAGAAATAAAAATTAAATCTTTTTTTAAAAAAAACTTTTCTTCTAGCTTATTTAAACTTTTTTTTCTTTAAAATTTCTTTGAAAAGCTGAGGAACATTGAATTTAGTATTTTCTATCAATTAACAATTAATTAAATTCTAATTAAAAATAACTGTAAAGATGGACATTTAGTGCAGAATAAGAACATTTGGAGCACAATGAAGAATGTATTCATAACTATCTAAACATTTGTAATTAGATTATTTTAGCAAATTGCTTTTCTTGATTAGAAAAAGCTTTTTTTTTAATTAGAAAATCATTGCTCTAAAAATAAAGTTCTTTTCTCGTTTGAACCTTTCATGTTTCATTAAAATAAAATTAGATGAGGCTACTTTTTTATCAAAAAAAGACAACATGACATCCTCTATGAGTGCCTTAATGAATTCTAATTTATAACAAAAGAAAAATTAACTAGGGCTGTGCTTAGGCTGCTTGTTTCTCTAATTATATTAAATTTGGTTGTAATATAATTGAGTTGAGCGAGATTTTACAACCACACAAGAGTTTAGAATTACATCAATTATGCTGTATTTGCCACATGTTTTCAAAAATACTGATTTTTGAATACTATGATGCTAAAATTTCATATCACATTTAGCCCATCGTAAAATTGTTATTTCACAATCGTTTTTTTAGTAATTGTTGCTACTGATTTCAATAATGTCATTTTGGTTTTTTAGCACTGTCTAAATTATATTATGATCTTATTACAACACACAATTTTAAATTGTACATTTGTAATAACTGTCACATTCTGTGACTAGTTTCAGAAAATCATTATTGGTTATAACAGCAATATTAACCATTAACATGTAAGAACGTTACACTGTAGTTAGATAACTTTGCAGTTAAAGCTCTAAGAGTAGCAGATAATTTTAAAAAATGAAATATGGCAATAGGCAAAATAACAATGTAACAAATAACAATGGTAAGAACAGTATTGGCCAAGAATTATCCCAGGAACATGGGGCAGTATTTGGTGTAATCCTGTAAATTATTTAAAATAATAATAGTAAATCCATAACTATTTTTCAGGAACTGAAGTAGTTTACAATTCAACCAAAAAGAGAAAAAAGAAATATATTTAAAACTTTAGTTGTGACCAAGATTTTTGTAAAAATGTATCATAACTAAGGGAAATGTTCTTTCACAGAAATTTAACAAACCATTTCAAAAAGATTTTTTTTTTCAAAATAAATAAACAATAAACTCATTAAGTAATAAATTCCAATGAGGATAGCTCAGAGAACCTCTGTTTGTTTTTTTTCATTTTGGTGAAGTGTTCTTAAAACATAAAAATGACTGTGACCAGGAATTACCCTAGAAACTTGCTAACCAGGAATTACCCCAGGTGACTCTAATAACTATTATTAATCAAAACATGGGTTTTAATTCTTTTATATAACAATTTAGGCAAATTTTTTAGTTTAAGTAAAATTGAGTATCCACAAGTAATTCTCTGATGTCAACATACAATTTTTTTTTATTGATTATCAATATTAGTTATTAGCTATACTTAGAAGAGCAGAATATGACTGCAGGAATAAGTCTTTGGAAGGAATTCAGGCAGCCTTGAGAAAATTAATTCAATTTGTGTATTTATTAGTTTGAATTCCTTAAATTCATAACCTTAAATTTAACCTTAAATTTAATTAGTGGGACCTTAAATTTAATTTAATACATTATTACTAATTCAATATATTTTGATTTCTATTGTTTAATAACACAGATGCTCATTTATTCACTAATTTAGAAAACCAAATGAAATTGAAATCAATTCAAATAAATTTAAAATTGTACTTAAAAATTTTCAAAAATTAAAAAAATTTCTCATGTAAAAAAAAAATAATAAAGTGCTAATATTTTAGGGGAATTTTGATCCAAAAAGAACTTAGTTCATAAAGGATATTAAGCTCTGAGAATTCTCAGAACTCCTGCATAAATATTTTCAATATTGGTGAACCAATGTTAATAACATTGCTTACTTCACTGATTAGTACAAAACTATACTAACTATAATTTACAAAAAATATAAATGTTTGTTTAAATTATTTAATTTTTTTAAACCTATCAATTAATTAAATTACTATTAATATTTAGAATGAATTTCCTAGTTACATGTTCGAGACGCGCCCGACGGAGTGTTAAGAATGTCTACATTCTAGTCTATGCAGCTCAGTATCAATGAAGGAATAGTTTCAAATTTCGGTCTTATTCATACAAAACTGAAAAATGAACTTGTAAGCACAGAGAGCTTCAAAACTTTCTTTTTTTCAAGTGCATGCTTCAGGAAAGTAAGACTTAAAAAGGAGTAAATGAAAATTGTTTTTACATATAATGAATAAGATTATTAAGTGTTTTTATTAAACTGACTGATTTTGTATTTCTATTTTCAATAATCTAGCAAATTAACGAATTGGATAAATTGCAATTTTTCACAATTGTATTTTTAATAATGTAATATTTTCTACACCAAAATTTAGGCTCTTGGCAGCAATTGTCAAAACAAAAAGAGAACTTAAAGTAAAAAATTGCCAAAAGGGCTTTTTACATGATGGATAAAACCACCAATTATCAAAAACTCGCCAACCCTGATTGTGTGTCTCATTCGCTGGGCAACATTAGCTACGTGTCGGTATTTTTTCAGTATTTATAATCTGCTCATATTTTTGGACATATAGTATTTATATTCATATAGTATAGTATTTATATTAGTCAATATTTTTTAAAGTCATGATTAGCCAAGTTTATCTTTTCACAATATATAGCGATGACCCCATTTTGAATAAAATTATCTGCATTTTGATATTTTAAAGCATATTTTTTTACACCACATTACAATGTAAAATAAAGTTTATAACAGGAATGTAACAAATAATGATTTGGCCGAACAGCCAAATACAGAAAGTTCCACAAAAAAAAAATCTTCCATACCCAGAACATTAAACAGCTGAATAACATTTTTTTTTTTTTAAATCATCAATTAATATTATTTTTTGTTTAAAAATAAGTTTGATCATTATTGAGAAAAATTAAAACTTAGCTGTATTAGTGTGGCGAAGAGGGAAAAAACAATAATAAACAATAAAATTTCAAAACTAAGCATTTTAGTTTTCCAATTGCCATATTTTCGAGAAAAAGTGAAGATTTACATCTAATAAAATCCCTCTTATTTGCAGAGAATTAAGAGGGATTTTATTAGACTTAAATCTCACAATAAAATTACAAAAACATAAGTTTTTTTGAAACAAAAATTGTTCTTAAGTTTTAAACGAAACTTTTTATGCTAAAAGTTCTTAATTTTTCATGTCGTATTTATAGAAAAAAAGTGACCATAAAAAATAAAGTTCATTTGAAACGCTTTTTAAAAAATGTTGATAAAATAAAAAGTCAAAAGAGAAACAAAAGTTCTGCCCCAGCAGCAATTTTACCTTGGTCCCAGTTGGGCTCAAAATTAGTTAAATATGGGTCCTATATAAGAACATGCACCAAGGTACCAATATCGGGGTGCCTAGATTTTTCAATATTGGTCCTAAAATAGCCTATTTTGGCCTGACAATTCTTTAAATGGCCAATATTGGAAAAATAACAGCCTTTCGAATCCTTATTGAGCCAAGATTCATGAATATTGGTCCAATGAGGGCACAAATTATTTTGCTGACAGGGGAAATACAACCTTATACTTGAGAATCACAGTTTTCCAGGTTACTAAGCTATATGTCTTACCGCACAAGAAAAAGAGGCAGTAAAAGAATAATGTTCATAAGAAACGCTCCATTAAGACAAAGTTTTGAAAAAACAATGAACTTAACTTGCCTGAATATAATTAAAAAACGAAAAAAATCAGCATTACAAAACTCATGGACTAAGACAAAGTAAACAAGTATTTTCAATTCTTCCAATTTCGCTTTTCCACCAGTTTTTCGGAACATAAAGCAACAAGTTTTAGAAAATGATCAGGGGCCTGTCTAGGTTTTACTGAGAGGTACCTATTTTATGAAAATTTAGACATAATTTGTGAAAATTTAAGACATATTTGTTAAAATTAAAAATTTATATTAAAAAATCAACACAAAATATGATAAAAATATGGATTTATCGTTTCTTCAGAGACACAAAAATAAAATTTTAAGAAAAAGTATTGTGAAACAGAAGTTTTTCCTAAAGTGGAATTGTGAAGGTACCGGTAAACGGTAGTAAATTTGACTTGGACAGACCCCCGATGATGTATAGCAAAAAAATAAGATTTTAGATTTTTTATCTATTAAAAATATAATCTATCATAAATAGGACTGGGCTATAAATCGATATATCGCGACATATCGATTTAACGCCTATATCGGCAAACCGATACAGCAACTTTCATTCCAAGCGATGCATCAGAAATCTGATTTAAGACGAAGAAGACGATATAACGATATAGCGATATAGCGATACACGCAAGGACTTTCTCTTACGTTCCGATGCCAACTCGCGCTGTGGAAGACGATATTGTTTCGTTATGTTGAGACGGCCTTGACTGATGAGCGGTAGAATCAGTATCACTTTTGAGACTTTATATCGTTATATCACATGTTCGTTTTCGCACCTTCGCGATTTGAAATCGTTTCTTGTAGATTATTTTCAATGGGATTAACTTCGTGATCGCCGTCGTAACCTTGTTCTGAA